GAGTGGCCAGAAAAAAGCCATTGCTTAAAGAAAAAAATAAGCAAACACGTTTGGTGTTCGCCAAAAGGCATGTGGGAGACTCCCCAAACTCATGGAAGAAGGTACTCTGGTCAGATGAGACTAAAATTGGAAAACGCTATGTCTGGCGCAAACCCAACACCTCTTATCACCCCGAGAACACCATCCCCACAGTGAAGCATGGTGGTGGCAGCATCATGCTGTGGGGATGTTTTTCATCGGGGACTGAGAAACTGGTCAGAATTGAAGGAATGATGGAGGTGTACCTGTGGATGTATTTCAAGGCATACCTTCAAACTCAGTGCCTCTTTGCTTGACATCATGGGAACATCAAAAGAAATCAGCCAAGACCTCAGAAAAATTTTTGTAGACCTCCACAAGTCTGGTTCATCCTTGGGAGCAATTTTAAAATGCCTGAAGGTACCATGTTCATCTGTACAAACAATAGTACACAAGTTTAAACACCATGGGACCACGCAGCCTTCATACCGCTCAGGAAGGGACGTGTTCTGTCTCCTAGAGATGAACGTACTTTGGTGCGAAAAGTGCAAATCAATCCCAGAACAACAGCAAAGGACCTTGTGAAGATGCTGGAGGAAACAGGTACAAAAGTATCTATATCCACAGTAAAATGAGTCCTATATCGACATAACCTGAAAGGCCTATTGCTTATATAGGTCTATCTCATTAGTATCTTATTCATCATTTTAGGCAATGTTGGAATGATTTCATTGTTTTGCTTACTTTGTGTATTATATTTAGCTCATGTGCTTTTCTTGACAAGGAGGAGATACTATATAATGTTGTTGGGTCTGTAGCCATGTTTGCCAGTGACAGTCTCTTCTCATTCAAATATTTGTTTTCAACAAAAGGTTCAGTAAAGATCTTATCGACTTACACAAATCCACAAGTCAGTAGTAACCACATTTGTTTAAGCAAGTCAGCCATGTCAGCTATGGTTTTTGAAAAGGCAGTAAATGAGGCTGAATGAACTGTTTCACTGCCAGACACGGCTCCGCTGATAGCCAGGTGTAGAGGCACAGATCTGGGGAAGGGTACCAAAAAATGTCTGCAGCATTGAAGGTCCCCAAGAACACAGTGGCCTCCATCATTCTTAAATGGAAGAATTTTGGAACCACCAAGACTCTTCCTAGAGCTGGCCGCCATGCCAAACTGAGCAATCAGGGGAGAAGTGCCTTGGTCAGGGAGTAAGCTGAACCCGATGGTCACTCTGACAGAGCTCCAGAGTTCTTCCGTGGAGATGGGAGAACCTGCCAGAAGGACAACCATCTCTGCAGCACTCCACCAATCAGGCCTTTATGGTAGAGTGGCCAGACGGAAGCCCCTCCTCAGTAAAAGGCACATGACAGCCCGCTTGGAGTTTGCCAAAAGGCATCTAAAGGACTCTCAGACCATGAGAAACAAGATTCTCTGGTCTGATGAAACCAAGATTGAATTATTTGGCCTGAATGCCAAGCGTCACATCTGGAGGAAACTTGGCACCATCCCTGCGGTGAAGCATGGTGGTGGCAGCATCATGCTGTGGGGATGTTTTTCAGCAGCAGGGACTGGGAGACTAGTCAGGATCGAGGGAAAGATGAACGGAACAAAGTACACAGAGATCCTTGATGAAAACCTGCTCCAGATCGCTCAGGACCTCAGACTAGGGCGAAGGTTCACCTTCCAACAGGACAACGACCCTAAGCACACAGCCAAGACAACGCAGGAGTGGCTTCAGGACAAGTCTCTGAATGTCATTGAGTGGCCCGGCCAGAGCCCAGACTTGAACCTGACTGAACATCTCTGGAGAGACCTGAAGATAGCTGTGCAGCAACGCTCCCTATCCAACCTGACAGAGCTTGAGAGGATCTGCAGAGAATAATGGGAGAAACTCCCCAAATACATGTGTGCCAAGCTTGTAGCATCATACCCAAGAAGACTCAAGGCTGTAATCGCTGCCAAAGGTGCTTCAACAAAGTACTGAGTAAAGGTTCTGAATCCTTAAGTAAATGTGATATTTCTGTTTTATTTGTTTATACATTTGAAATTGTTTCTAAAAACCTGTTTTTGCTTTGTCATTATGGGGTATTGTGTGTAGATTAATGGGGGGGGGGGGGGGGTGGAAACAATTAAATCAATTTTTTAGAATAAGGCTGTAACGTAACAAAATGTAGAAAAAGCCAAGGAGTCTGAATACTTTCCGAACGCACTGTGCATGCTAAAATCTGCACTGTGTCAGGACGATTTTTTTGGGATACCGATTATCCTCATTATGGGAGAGCAGCTTGTCTAGGTAACACACTGTTACTTTAGCTCTGTCAGTGCCATATATAGTACGCAGATGCATGAGTTTATAGACATTTCGACCCGTTTTTTTTTTTTTTTTTTGGGGGGGGGGATACAACCTCTGGATACAGTTTTCATCATCACCTGGACTGTTAAATTAAATTAAATTAAAATTGCACCTGAACCTCTGACTCAATCTCAACTGTTGATCGTCCACACCAACTAAATAGGCACACAAACAGTCACAGAAACGTTCAAATTTTATTGGTTTATAAAGGAACAGTATTACTGTAAAAGATGCCTATAAAAACAGAAACAAATAAAGAACAAACAAATAACATTTCTGATAATGGCTGTGTGGTTAATACTCATTAAATCCTTGCTTTATTCTAAAAAAAAAACTTTATTACAACATAAAGATTTTCATAGAACTGTGTCAGTAAAATGTAGGGCATCTATCAGAGGGAAGAGTGGACAGTAATTAAACCATACTTTAGACAAAATCAAAATCTTTGATAAGTACTGTAATGGCATTGTCACCATGGTAAAATCTTTTGCATGCTACTCACCCACCCTAGTCTTTTTCACCCCAAAATAATTCTGACCACTGTGTGAAATGTAAATCCTACTTCGATAATGGAATTGACTTTATAAACAAGCTTTGTTTGGAGTTGTTTTATTTTTTTACATCCTGCTGCACAAACGTGCCATTTTGATTCTTAATGATTTAAAAAATAAAACGTACTTCATGCAGGTATAATAAGCAAGGGAGTTAGCACCATTTTTCATATAAAGTCTGTTGATGACAAAAGTTTAAGGCGGCTTATGGTTGTGAAATGGTTGAGATGGAAATAATGCTGAGTTCAAGAGTTGATATGGGTTCCTAAGAGCACAGGGATTCCAAACCAACCATTGCTTCTATTCCAAAGACTTTGTTAAGTCACTTCGTGGATCTGAAAGATTTGGATTGGTATCAGCAATGTGGTAATAGCCACACCTAGCGCTCTGGTAGGCTTGGTGGAGTTCCCACCATATTGCGTACACTTATCCAGTCCTTTTAGTTTTATGAAGGGGACTCATAAAGACCATATGGGTAGTGACGTGGGACAGGTTGAGTTGGATCACAGAGTCAACACTCAACCAGACATCCCTATAATGACTCACCTGTCCTGCAGTGTACTCAATAAGATGAAAGGTTCAAAACATTGCCGGTAGAACTATTACTAATAGAACTACAGTCGTTCCCAAGTCTACAGGCATACCAACATGGTCTCAGGGCAATTGGTATTAATCTGTACGTAAATATGTGACACTCAATTTAGTATTATACGTTACGATACATTATAAATCAAATAGTGGTCGTACAATATCATATGAATTAGAGGACGTACAGTATCATACGTCTTACCCGGTCGTACAATAGCATACAAATTGGATGATGTAACTTATCATATGTGTTGGAGGACATATAGTATTGGAGGTCTTTGTCTGAGACCAGGTTGCTTGTTGCACTGTAACAACAAAGGAGAATTACAGGGACAATTTAAGTTGGCGGTTAGGGGAACAAACAACAAAGATTAGGAGAACTAAAATGACAAAGGTTAGGTAAATTTACATAGCAGGTGAATTGGGTTAACTTTAGAATAAGGGTTAGGGGAAAGGTTAGCTAAAATGCTACAGATATCCCCGACGCGATTCGAACATGCCACCTTTGGATTGCTAGACTGTAGGGATCATACCTCTTGGAGGTGGTCAGAAATACAAAAGTATATTTTGTATGACTCTGAGGTCAGGCTGGGCAATCATATCTATTCTACACAATACATTTCTAACTGAGCGTTCTGTAACGTTGCACCCTCCTGAACAAACCCCAGGTAATCCTTAGCTGATGGAATATGAATGGAATTGCAAACAGACCAGCTGTTGTTGAAAATATTATGGGTGGATTTATAAAGTTGATTTGCCAATAATAGTCAATAAGCAATGATTGAGAACTAACATGATAAATTATGCAGATGAGACCACTGAACACCGTTAGCGTGCTGAGGCCTGTTTAAAACCAGCAAGAGACCTTGCCCTACATATGACGCCGCACATTGAATGCAATGGCATCCTAGATAACTACAATGTGGAGCCCGAAAAGTCCATAGGCTTACCTGTTTCGAAATATCATTTTACTGAAGGCACATCTACAATACGTAACTCCTTGTCCATCCTTCTGGATTGTCCAATGTGTGGATATCTTTAAAGAAACCGTCTGAATCAAACCGGCACCAGACCGGCACCAGACTTCACCTGTGATAGACAGCGCTCAAGACGAGCTACCGCATATCCTTCCACTATCTATCTACCACAGCTGGAGTTAGGTGCCGGTTTGGAGAAAAGTTTATTTACAGATATCCACACATTATACAATCCGGACAAGGAGTTACTGATTATAGATATGCCTCAGTGATAGGATTTTCGGAAAGCCTAAGGTCTTTTCACGGAATATGTTCCGGGTTCCGCATTCTAGCGTTCTAGGACACCATTGCAATTCATGGCATCCTATGTAGGGCTACAAGAGACCCTCACGCCCAGGCTATCCCAACAACAGATTCAGATCGATGTGCATTGGGGAGGAGAGAAGGAAAGTAAGAGGTTATGCCTGACTGACCCTGTGTCCCAGTACTCTTTCCTTGTCTCCTTTCCTTCAACCCAGTACTCTTTCCTTGTCTCCTTTCCTTCAAGATCACCCTATTGCCTTCACCTGTTCAGCCATTTCAGATCTCTGGTCTATGAGGAAAGGAAACTCTTGAAGTGTACTGGGACATGGTATGGAATTTAAATGTTCCACTTGATGTCCCGGTATTGAAGCGGTTCCTTTGTTGTTTGTGATTCCTCTTCAGCCAGCTCCTGGCTTCCTGTGGTTGGTGATGTTACTCCTACTGTCTGTGCTGTGCTTCCTGCCCCTGAAAGGAAACCCCCAGCACAAAGTTGAAAATAAAGACTTCTGACAAATCTGTTGGATAAAAAGGCAATGTCATACGTACATCACTTTCATACGTCTATCTTGTTCCTCCCACATAATCTCCAGAGTGAGGACACCGTCTGATTTAGATGCTAGTGTTCTGGGTTGTCTTTGCCTGCTGCTGTGGCATTGCCTTGACTTAGGATGGGACTCAATGAAAGGCACATTTCGACAAGGGCACAACACAGTCGACATTGCGCCTTCTACAGGCAATTCCCTGACAGTCGTTTAGATTGCATTCACAGTAAACGCTGCGAATGTTGGCTCAAGTGTAAACTACCTTTAAATGTCAAGTGCAGTGTGCTTGTCGACAACGCGACTTTGATTGAATCCCGCCTTGAACCCAATGATATATCTTATCCTCCAGAGCTAAAGCAGATTCAGCAACTCCCCACTACAGAACAACAACTAATGTTTAGATTGAAATCTCGGTCTCCAATCTTAAGCATCTCCTTAATTCTTCAAAAGATGATTCTTCAGTACTTCATTAGTGAGGCAGATTCTTGCTGACAGTCCATCACGAGAGATTAACTGTATCTCAATAACTGCTCTTGGGTCATATTTAGCAATATTAGAAATGTAATGGAACATGGTCATGAATTAGCGATAGGTGGGCGGGTCATAGAACTGTTCATACCAGGGATGCAGAGGATCTGGGGCTCCTCCCACTTGCCTCCTGGCAGGCACTTGACCAGAGGGTTTTGTCTCTGCTGGAAGCCCTGGGCACAGTAGTAGCGCACAACCGCGTCTGTCTCGTACCTCTGGCGAATTTTGCCAAACGCAGATGCGTTCCGGACTTTGGGGGGAGGTCCACATGAAGCTGTGGGAGGAGTTACAAAGACTGTAGGTGATAATGTCTTCTAAATCAAAAATAAATTAAATGAAAAGTTGAAAGATTATTTGTCCTATGTACACATTCAACACAGCTAAGTTTCGGGCATTACAATAGTTTGGGACTGTATTGAATGTGTGCATTAAACATCTACTACTGCTTCTATATACCTAAGTTACATCAATATAATATATTGCACAGAGGTAGTTACAGGTACAGTATGTAAAGGAACTGGTAGATCGGTGCTTGTTTGTAGTAACATAATATCCATTACTCACAGGTGTCTTTCTTGCAGGTGTAGGCCAGGTGGTAGTTGCAGGGCACGTCACTCCAGCGCCCAGCATCATGCCATACCATCACCACACAGTCCTCTCCAGACAGGAAGTAACTGTCAGGCTGGCCCCTGTACCAGTTCTCATAGAGCTGTGAAGACAAGGTGAGAGACACAGAGCTGTAGTAGTGTATAAGCATGGGAGCTAATGTCTTGTGTCATGTGTTCTTGTGTCTTTGTAGCTGCATGTCATCATGTGGACAGGTTTTGACCCAGTACTTTTTCTATGTTAAACCAATCTGTCTGGACTCACCAATGGGTTACCATCGGACCAGTGGAAATCCCCCTCGATGGTCTTGTCGTTCAATCCAGTCCACTGATACTCCTTATAGTTATCTGCGAATAGAAGAAGACATTTTATTTGCTTTTCAAGTAGTAGGCCTATCACTTCTCTAACAAGTTATACAGTAGACCTTTGTCTTTGTGCTTCCACTGCGAATATTAACAACTCTGCCAGGGTTTGTATTGCCAAATGACTGGGTTTGAAGTTACTTGGAGGTAATATGGCCACATAATGTAGAACATGCTAAAGCTGCCCCCATTACTTCCATTGTTTTTTTCTAATGTCAGCAGTTGGTGACAGTGGCTGAGTACACAGTCTGTCACTCAGGTTAAAGGTAAGTGTGCTTATAACTTATTTTGTAATTTTGGTGAACTACCTCTTTAATCACCCAGATTACTATTAGCATGTAGCACTTACGCACATTAGGGTCAATGGCATGACATTTGTCCTTCCTATGCTAATAAATAGCACACATAAACCCTTGAGAGCTAGCTACTGTATTTCCAATGTATTAATGTGCAGTAAAGTAGCCTATCAATGAAAGAGAAAAGGTGGAGTATGAAGTTTGGTGGCTCGCTGTCACTACTCCCAGCGTACTGTTAATGAAGTCCTGCTCCTCAGGGGTCATGATTGATGCCAGGTGGCCCCCCACCATGCGACAGTGCTGCTCCGCCACCTCCCAGCTCAGCCGCTGGTTGAAGTGCTTGTAGCAGTTCCCATGGAACTTCTGCCAGCCCACCTCACACTGCTCCAGATCTAAGAGACAGAATGGGAGGGAGGGAGGGAGGGAGGGAGGGATTTACTAGATGTAATTATTTAATTTGAATGATAAAGAGGGAAAGGTAAGATTTGTTGAGGTTTTCTGACCATTCAACAAGAAAGAGAGAGAAGGGTTGGTATTGATGAAAAACTATGAGGTGATCCGAACGAAACTACCTTAAAGACCTTGGCTGGGATTCAATCATGCATTGTCGACAAATGCAATGCACTTGACCTTTGAAGGAAATTGTTTAAGCTTGAGCCGACCTTCAAAGTGTTGACATGAATTTGATCTCCACGAATGTCAGGAAAATGGCCTTTGATTGAATCCTTGCCTTACTCTGTAACTAGATGATTCTAACCCACAAAGACAGTTTCCCTGATTAACTGAGCATATGGATCCATGAGGTTCATCCATCTAAAGAACACTTCTCATCTCACCTGCTTTCGATTTCTATGTTCTCATCCCTAAATCTGTGTGACAGGGACACAGTGGCATAGCAAGCAGGTCTCAAAGAAAACGCTGCGTCAGACTGAACTGAAGAGGACAATGGTTCCAAAAGCAAGGTTTTGTCCTCTTTGAACAAGGTGGGTCTTTGAGTTTGATAGGCTCTTAAAGCCACAGTGTGTAAGATTTCTGTTTTATTGATTTTGAGCTATTAACAGTACTACTAGACTAGTTATTAATAGACGAGTACTACAAAACTAGACTAGTAGAACTGTCTTACCTTATAATAACACAAAATAACAAAAAAATGAAGGACCTGTTACTTAATTGTTTATGTTTTGGCCGCATATATGTTTTTACTTCTTTATTGTGAAGATGACTGGTACGTGGCTCCACTCATCGGAGCCTGACTTCTTCTGCTTCAGCACATACAAATCCAAAAGTATTTTTACTGAATGTGGTGGTGCATTACTACAGTATTCTGCCATCTGGTGGATTATAACACTGCTTAATAGCACTCAATTATGGAAGTACTGTAACAGCCGAATGAGGAGCTCACCTGTCTGACAGAGGTCACCTCCATAGCTGGGCAAACAGAGGCATTTGGTGCTCCCGCCCATCTCAACGCAGGTGCCGCCGTTGGCACAGGGGTCCTCCAGACAGGCAACTGAAACACAGCAAGAGGCCAGTCCTGCCAGCTCCGATAACCATATGCAGTATGTCTAATAATGTTGTAATACTAATAGTAAATAATAAAGTTGTACTGTAGTACAAATAACAGAATGATAATATCATACAATTATAGCCTAGTGTGTAGAAAGCAGTGAGGGCAGATGCAGCAAAGAGGATAAAGAGAACAAAGTGGTTAAAATATGAGTATGATGATAAAATAGTTGAAGACAGAGGAGAAAAAGCAAGGTTGGTAAAGGTCTGTAAGGCTGCAGAATAAGGTGCTTTATCTCCTGCCCGAATAATGCTCCATTAACTCAGTTTGACCATAGTCCTTGTCATGTTCGCTGAAGATATCACGGTAACCTTGAACGATTCCCCCACTATTCCCCAGGTCAAGTAATTATTAACTCTCAGGGTAATTCCGCCCTCTTTTGGCGAGGATGAGTAAGCCATTTCTATCACCTACAATTATGATGATGATTTCAGTGTTGTAATAATTAGGGAATTTGTAGTACTGTCTTTATCTGCGATTGATTACCTAGAATTAACCTCTCATTATGTTTTCCATCGGGTATACATTTTGCATGTATCTCTGTGTAGATATAGTTATATTTTGGTCCGGAACATATTACCAAAGTACAGTGTTAAGTTTGCTGATAATTGTACAAATGAACTATGACACATTATGGATGCCTCATACCTTATAGTGGTATTTCTGAAATCTACTGTAAATGTAACCTGGGCTGGAACCAGAAGTGAGAGAGTGAGACTTAGACCTCAGACCATTTGGTATGAAAATGTGTCCAAACACCAATATAAGAACACCAAAAATAATCTAATTGAATGTATCACATAGCCTCTTGTGTCAGACTGGATGGAGCACACACGTATCAGACAAGAATACCTACCCATTTTCCTTTCCTTTTGATGAACATGCAATTAGCCAGTAGATGGCACCAAAGTTCACATATTGTGTTGATACAACTCACTCACAAGGCCTGTGTCTGGCGTCACCTGTGTCGGGAAAGCTTGAGGTAGAAATTGTCCTTAACTGCAATTGTAGGATCTGATTACCCTACCCCCTATTTTATCCATTGGGCCATAAAAAAATATCAGATGCTGTGTCAGTGGTTAGGGCAACTTCTACCTAATCTGTCAGGAAAGTAATGCACCAGTGAAACTCTTACAAAAAAAGATTGCAGTTTTGAAACTGCAATAAAAGTGCAGTAACTGCAGTCGACTGTGGTATTTTGGTAGCAGTAATAGCAGAATAACTGTAGTTACACTGCAATAGTACTGCAGTAAAAAAATACGGTATTATTTTGGACGCAGTATTTTGTAGCGTACTTTTTCGTAAGTGGAAAGTAAACCGAAAAATAAAGGCCATGTCCTCTCATTTCGATTTTCACCTTTAATGGTTATGTCTCTGTGTAAAAGCACATTTACTAAAATGAGATGGACAATGTAGCATTTTATACAATTCTGTGCAAGTTATCCAACAGGCTGGTTTATGGTCTGTTTGCTTAATGGTTTTATGGATTGTGCCATCCTGTATGAGTTAATTCCTTAGAGGAGAACACACACATGTTTAAAGATCAACCCATGCTGTTAGCTGTGCTTGTGAGATGCTGGTTCTGACTCTCCATCTATACAATCACAATCTGCAAAGACCCATTTTAGATTAGATGACATGGCACTAAACATGCCACACTGATGTCACTTTAGCGTCAAACAATAAACCAGCCTCAATAGTTTCCATTTTGCATTTAGCAACTCTTACTCATTACAAATGTTTAACATTTTTGGAAGAAACTATGATCAGACTGCCATCTAGGAGGTCATTGTCATTCTTCAAATGGTATGTCCTGTTACACTGGGAGATTGATCGCGTTACAGACATTTGTACCCCAAATTACAAATATTCTGATAGATGTAATTTACATATCTACAAGAAACATTCCATTATTGTGGTTATAAAAGTGACATTCTGTGCTATACAATCTACTATAGACTAACTCAATAGCTGCGGAGTTAGTTTAAAAAGGTGCTGATGTTTTCTAATTGGGATACTGTCCCTCTATTAAATCAGTAATATCTGTAATCTTTACCAATAACATGTCAGTGGTGTTGCATTTGGGAATCAGTGCTGTTACATTCAGAGTTAGTGGCGTTACAATGCAAGGACAAATATTTGTCCGGTTGAATAACACTGTTTTTTTGTCTCTTGGAATTGTGCTCAAATTAATATGGGCCCCTGGTAAGAGGAAATTGACTGTTTGAATGCTGAAACATTCAAGATGGTGAAGTTGCAAGTTGGACATCAGTCTTGCAGGAAGAATAGGAGGAGACAAACAAGCATTGCAATTCTCTTTCACAGAAATGGTGTGTCCGGGCAATACAGTACTTCACAGAAGTCAATCTCTGAGAAAAACATGATGCACAGCAAGACTGGTTTGCTTGACAAATGGTAAAAGGGAGTTGTCCCATATATCTGTCAAATCTCAATTCTTGGGGATCACAAGAAGCAGGGTGCTCTTTATGGGGGAGGGAGGGGAAGGAGGGTGAGTGGGCTGCTGAGACAAACAGTGAGACAGAAGAAGAGGAGCCGTTGGGAGGGTGGTGGTTTGCAGAAAATAGAGCAAGGCAGCTTGGGGTGGGAGTGACCGGGGTTTAGTGCATCACCGTGCTGAGCAGCAAGAGGAGGGCGGTTAGGCTGGTTAGGGTGGCTCGAGTGTTACCTGAAATCTTCCTGGCACTGCCCACGGCAACCCTCTCATTGGGCAAGATGAGCAGGGTGGGTGGCTGGGTGAGGCCGAATTCCAGATCCAACCGGCCCTGATCCACGGGGGGCATTAGAGCCATCACCCTCTTAGATGTTTCTGGGGGACCTTGTGTGGTGGAGGTGGTGGGGCTCCAGGTCTGTGTGGCCCACTCTGTGGATGTGTACATGGTGGATGTGGACATGGTGGCAGCGGTGGGATCCGTACTTGAGGTGGACAAGGAGTCTGACCCAAACAGATCAGGTTCTGCTGAGGAGTCTGGAAGCTCTGTCTGGGAAGAGGTGGAAGGGGGTTCCCCGCTGTATTCAAGGTCGTCCTGAGACTCTTGGGGTGCAGAGGTGGTGCGGTGCAGATCCCAGCTGGATGTTTGCAACTCAAGGGGGAAGACGGTAACTTTTTCTCCCAGGGATGGTTCATCAGTGCCTGGCTCATGTCCACTTCCGTCTTCTTCAGGGCCCGTGGTTGTGGGATCCATCTCTATTCTGGACATGATTGTTGTTTGATAGCCCATAGTGGTAAACTCGACAGGCAGCTGGGAGATGGTGGAGAGGTCTGGAGACTCGTTAGTGGCTATGCCCTCTCCAGACCCCAGGTGCTCATCATCAGACTCCACTGGTGCCAGCTCCACTTCTTCTGAAGGTACCAATCTCTCTGGATTGATGATACCCTCAAAATCTAGACTGGTGCTGCCTTCCGGCCTAGCGGAGGAAGTTCCATGGGAGGTTACTTGTGGATGGCCTACGGTGGAGTATACATCCAGTCCCAGCTCCTCAGAATGATCCAGTCCAGATGAGATGCTGCTTGAATGCGTAACCCCTGTCTGCTCCTCACTGGGGATGCTGGTGGATCTGCCTGTGTGGATTCCCTGATGGACACCTAGTTCTATCTCTGTAAAGAAGGTACAATAAACATTTTTGTTGCATGATTATCAAGTTCTACACAGCTCTACAATGACAAAGTAAATAGAGTTAGGAGTAACATCATGCCATGTATCATAAAGTTATAGCCCTAAGTACTTGAGGAATTGGCTGCCACATTGGCCATACCTTGGGACACATCTCCAGATCCATCCAGGGGCGACCACACTGAGGTTGCCTTTGCATGGGGGGAGAGGGTAGACCAGGCTGGGCGGGGATCAAGCTCTCCCGGGGACTTGGTCAAGATGGATGTCTCCTCAGGCTCTCCCACGATCACCTCTTTGTGTCTTCTCTCTGCGGTAGGTTCACGTGCCTCGGTAGCATTCTCTATGGGGTCAAAGGCCATTGTGGTAGTCTCTTTTGTATTCTCCCGATGACTCTGGTTACCTCCTGTTGTGCTGTAGTTGGCTTCCACTTGATCCAACTCAAGGTTGGTCTCTGGCATCGGCTGAAAGTGCTTGGAAGATCCTGACTGTTGGTAGTCAGGTTCCTCCGGGTTCATCTCTGGCATCGGCTGGTAATGTCTGTGTGGCTCGTAGGACGGCTCTGGGAATTCTGGGGTTGTTTCCAGCACGGGCTGGTAGAGACTGGAGTTGCCTTCGTGGAGGGAGTCTAGCACGCTAGAGGTGCTGGGTAGTGAAGTAGAATGAAGGGAGTGATAGTCTCGTTCGTGGAGGGAGTCTGGCTCACTGGAGGTGTTGGGTAGTGAACTAGAATTCTCGGAGTGATAGTCTCCTTCGTGGAGGGAGTCTGGCTCACTGGAGGTGCTGGGTAGTGAAGTAGAATGCTGGGAGTGATAGTCTCCTTTGTGGAGGGAGTCTGGCTCACTGGAGGTGTTGGGTATTGAACTAGAATTCTGGGAGTGATAGTCTCCTTCGTGGAGGGAGTCTGGCTCACTGGAGGTGTTGGGTAGTGAACTAGAATTCTGGGAGTGATAGTCTCCTTCGTGGAGGGAGTCTGGCTCACTGGAGGTGCTGGGTAGTGAAGTAGAATGCTGGGAGTGATGGTCTCCTTCGTGGAGGGAGTCTGGCTCACTGGAGGTGTTGGGTTTTGAACTAGAATGCTGGGAGTGATAGTCTCCTTCGTTGAGGGAGTCTGGCACACTGGAGGTGCTGGGTATTGAACTAGAATTCTGGGAATGATAGTCTCTTTCGTGTAGGGATTCTGGCTCACTGGAGGTGCTGGGTAGTGAAGTTGAATTCTGGGAGTCATAGTCTCCTTCGTGGAGAGAGTCTGGCTCACTGATGGTGCTGGATAGTGAAGTAGCATGTTGGGAGTGGTAGTTTTCTTCTACAGGAAGTGAAGTTTCATCAAAGGGCTGGAGGAGGTCCTGGGTGGAGGCTGTATGGGTGAGGGGGACCTCTGTGCTTGACAGGGCAGTAGGGGGAGTCCCCTCCAGGTCCTCCCGAGCAGGAGCTGACTGGAAGACGGGGAGGGATTCCAGGACACTCTGGGCCTCTCGCTCCACTTGCTCCGGATCCTGGCTCAGACGGAGCTCCTCAGCAGGCTCCATAAGAATGACAATATCTTGTCCGATGTCCTCTGGCTCAGTGGCCATGTAGTCCATGGGGGCATCAGTGTGAGGATTCCCAGTACCTGAGAAGAACAGGGGGTAGACAGGAGACTCAGGGAGATAGTTTTATCTCCATTCATTACACAAACGCATTATCTGCATAACACCACAACAGAATCCATGGAAGCATGCAATCCGACAAATCTCTTGCAATAATAAAACCTATATTATCTATTTTACAATTAATTAGTCCAGTACTAGACTCAGACCTCTGAAACAGTAAACATCATGACGGCTGGATGATTCAGGGAAGCCTGTCTGGTTGCTGTAGCGATACAGGGTCTTGACCCCTGCCCGAGGCCCACCACAGTGCTCCCTAGGGATGATGATGGGGTAGCGCACACTGCCATCAGACAGCCAGCCAGGGTTGCAGCGGTCCAAACCCTTGCTCCACGCCATATACAGCTGCCCTGTGGTAGCCAGCTCTGCCCCTTCCTTCTCGCAGTAAGCCCGAGCCTCGTCCAATGACAGCTGCTGAGGGGCAGAGCCATGGAATACCTCCCCTACACAAAAAGTGTCATGTGTTAGACTCCTAATGGGAATTAGATTCCAAACGCTTGTCCTAGATCCTTCATTTCCCTGCAGTATCTGGAAGAATACAAAAGGCTGAACACATGAGCGAATGAGACCTTGGTTGGGAAATTGACTTTGAATGTTAAAAATGTATTGTACCTGTCCTTGGAGGGAAAGTACTGTCAATGTCTAAAGTGTATGCTGTTTAAATACTAATGATCTGACTGATCTAAATTGTGTACTCTGCCCACTAGCTAAAAACCGTCCACGCCTGTAACTTAAAGGGATAGTTCACCCAAATTACAAAATGATATATTGGTTTCCTTGCCCTGTAAGTAGTCTATGGTCAAGGTATGACAGCAATCCATGCTTTAGTTTAGTTTCCTTGGCACTGTTACCACATGCTAACGTTTTAGCATTTGTGGCACAAATCCCATTCAAGAAATGGGACCGATATTAGCATTTTTTGCACATCATGTCCAAATAATCCGAAAGTATCTAAAATTGTGAAGCTCACAAAGTCATTTATAGATAATTTGAACATTATGCGTGAAAAATGCTAATATCGGTCCCAATGCTTGAATGGTGCCACAAAGGCTAAATGCTAAAACGTTAGCATGTGGAAACAGTACCAGGGAATCTAAATCAAAGCATGGATTGCTGTCATACCTTGTTCATAGACTGTTTGCAGGGTAAGGAAACCAATATGTCATTTTGTAATTTGGGTGAACTATCCCTTTAAGGAGACCTAACACAGTAATTTGATAGAGTGCCTTCAGAACACATGATAACTGTGGGAAATTATTATCTTATATTTTAGATGTGCTGTTAGCTTAATAAGAAAGCATTAATGATTAAACATAAAATGTTTGTGCTGTACTGATATAGATTGTTTAACCTAACAAGCTGTGATTAATGTGAGGAATGTTAGGGAGTAGGGTGAGACAGACTTGTGATTCTCACATACACACACACTGCCTCTTTGTTGAACCGTCCAAGGACGTAGGTACAAAGAGTATAGTTAGGGTGGGAAAGTACAGGGAAACAGTGTCTATGGGTGCTGACTCGGGACAAGTTGTGGAGATAACAATTAATGCCTGGCAACAGTGAAGCGCCAAGGGCCTGGGACCAGCCTGTGCGCCAACAATAGGCTGAGTAAGTCTAAACCACGCTCAGTCTCTACTCTGATAGGCCAGCAGGGAGCGGGAACTATCTCTGTCAGAGTATTTAAAGAAGAACTCATAACAATGGACCAGTTCTCTGACTGCCCTGTGTGGTTTTTCAGTGGACCCGTATATACGAACATCATATTTACCATTGAAGTGTTTTGCATTAATTAAAATACTAGTCTATTTTAGAAGACGTGTATTGACCTCTTTTTGTTCCAATACCAGATTTGAATTGACGCAACTTATCATAACATATAATAAAAAAGCATCTGAATTGGCAAAATTACATAGACTACACTGAGTAAACAAAACATTAAGAACACTTTCCTAATATTGAGTTGCACCCCCCTTTTGCCCTCAGAACAGACTCAATTCGTCAGGGCATGGACTCTACAAGGTGTTGAAAGCGTTCCACAGGGATGCTGGCCCATGTTGACTCCAATGATTCCCACAGTTGTGTCAAGTTAGCTGGATGTCCTTTGGGTGGTGGACCATTCTTGATGCACAGGGGAAACTGTTGAGCGTGGAAAAAAAACAGCAGCAGTTTGAGTTCTTGACACACTCAAAATGGTGCGCCTGGCACCTACTAACATACCCCTTCAAAGGCACTTAAATCTTTTGTCTTGCCCATTCACCCTCTGAATGGCACACATACACAATCCATATCTCAATTGTCTCAAGGCTTAAAAATCCTTCTTTAACCTGCCTCCTTCCCTTCATCTACACTGATTGAAGTGGATTTAACAAGTGATATCAATAAGGGATCATAGCTTTCACCTATATTCATGGTCAGTCTATTTCATGGAAGGAGCAGGTGTCCTTAATATTTTGTCCATTATGATTTTTGATGCAATGTCACAAACTTACAAACAAACGTTATTGCTCTGTAGAATCACATGTACATCCTTTTTTACAGGGAGCTATTCACACTGTCACTATTCACACTGCTTTTTACGATAAGCTATTCACAAGTTGTTGTTTTTTACCATCAATATGCTCCACATAACAATACACATCAAACAGCTCCTCTGATTCCAGCGTCCCATAGTTCCTCACTCCCGGGCGGCCATCCATGTCACCATAGCAACCTTCCCGGGGAACTTGGATTGGATATCTGCGGAATAGGTGCAAGAACTGAAAATATTTGTATTTCCTGTGAATAGAAAACATTGTAAAAACTAACTGATAGGTGAGGGGCCTCAGTCATTGTTGTCTAATCTGTTAGCAGGAATTGTGTGTGTGTGTTGGGAACATGGACCAAATGCAGTCCCTATCTTACACATGTAAGCCATGACAATACACATGAGGAAATCTAGCATATTTAACACCAGGACTAGAGTGAGTACGAGGAGACTGATTCAGCTGCCATCAGGTCAACACACATTCTGCCAGAAAAGGGCAACAGCTGGTGCATGAAATACAGTGGCTTGCTTAAGTATTCACCCCCCTTGGCATTTTTCCTATTTTGTTGCCTTACAACCTGGAATTTAAATGGATTTTTTGGGGGTTTGCATCATTTGTATGAAAAATGTATACACTCACTAACTGTAAGTCGCTCTGGATAAGAGTGTCTGCTAAATGACTAAAATGTTTTTTTTAAAATGATTTACACAACATGCCTACCACTTTGAAGATGCAAAATATATTTTTTGGTGAAACAAACAAGAAATAAGACAAAAAAACAGAAAACTTGAGCGTGCATAACTATTCACCCCCCGAAAGTCAATACTTTGTAGAGCCACCTTTTGCAGCAATTCCAGCTGAAAGTCTCTTGGGGTATGTCTCTATAAGCGTGGCACATCTAGCCACTGGGATTTCCGCCCATTCTTCAAGGCAAAACTGCTCCAGCTCCTTCAAGTTGGATGGGTTCCACTGGTGTACAGCAATCTTTAAGTCATACCACAGATTCTCAATTGGATTGAGGTCTGGGCTTTGACTAGGCCATTCCAAGACATTTAAATGTTTCCCCTTAAACCACTCAAGTGTTGCTTTAGCAGTATGCTTAGGGTCATTGTCCTGCTGGAAGGTGAACCTCCGTCCCAGTCTCAAATCACTGGAAGACAGAAACAGGTTTCCCTCAAGAATTTCCCTGTATTTAGCGCCATCCATCATTCCTTCAATTCTGACCAGTTTCCCAGTCCCTGCCGATGACAAACATCCCCACAGCATGATGCTGCCACCACCATGCTTCACTGTGGGGATGGTGTTCTCGGGGTGATGAGAGGTGTTGGGTTTGCGCCAGACATAGCGTTTTCCTTGATGGCCAAAAAGCTCAATTTTAGTCTCATCTTACCAGAGTACCTTCTTCCATATGTTTGGGGAGTCTCCCACATGCCTTTTGGCGTTATTTTGTTCTTTAAGCAATGGCTCTTTTCTGGCCACTCTTCCGTAAAGCCCAGCTCTGTGGAGTGTACGGCTTAAAGTGGCCCTATGGACAGATACTCCAAACTCCGCTGTGGAGCTTTGCAGCTCCTTCAGGGTTATCTTTGATCTCTTTGTTGCCTCTCTGATTAATGCCCTCCTTGCCTGGTCTGTGAGTTTTGGTGGGCGGCCCTCTCTTGGCAGGTTTGTTGTGGTGCCATATTCTTTCTATTTGTTAATAATGGATTCAATGGTGCTCCATGGGATGTTCAAAGTTTCTGATATTTTTTATAACCCAAACCTGATCTGTATTTCTCCACATTTTTGTCCCTGACCTGTTTGGAGAGCTCCTTGGTCTTCATGGTCCAACTTGCTTGGTGGTGCCCCTTGCTTAGTGGTGTTGCAGACTCTGGGGCCTTTCAGAACAGGTGTATATATACTGAGATCATGTGACATATCATGTGACACTTAGATTGCACACAGGTGGACTCAATTTAACTAATTATGTGACTTCTGAAGGTAATTGGTTGCACCAAATCTTATTTAGGGGCTTCATAGCAAAGGTGGTGAATACATATGCACGCACCACTTTTCCGTTATTTATTTTTTATAATTTTTTGAAACAAGTTATTTTTTTACATTTCACTTCAGCAATTTGGACTGTTTTATGAATGTCCATTACATTAAATCCAAATAAAAATCCATTTAAATTACAGGTTGTAATGCAACAAAATAGGAAAAACGGCAAGGGGGATGAATACTTTTGCAAGGCACTGTAGTATTACATACCACACAGTGGGCCAAATTCAAAACCCCAGTAGCCTATTAGATGTGTGAATTAGCTCACTGCTGTCGGTCATCACTCTATAACCTTGGCACCTCAGCACTTTCCCGTTAATAACTCAGGTAGTCAAAACAATGTCTAGCACCTTTAAGAAATGTGTCTTTGTATTATAGATCATGTTGTGGATACTGGGGTTTACCTGACAGATTGGTCAGCGAGCCAGCCGGCGTCACACTGCTCATAGCCATCGTAATAGGCTGCCAAAAGCTGGTCGGGAGTAGCGATGTGTGCCCCAATGCCCTCGCACGCCCTCTGGGCCTCACTGAACGAAAACGCATAGCGGCCAGAGGCGTGTCTGTAGTGGAAGACCACACCTACATGCACACGCATGTGCACAAACACAAACATAGACGCACAGAGAAATATTGACAGGCTCAAACACACAATATGTGGTAAAAACTGGAAGAAACAATATTAAGCTGTTTGAAAAAAAAAACTCACAAAAATTCACAATGACTCCTACAACCTTAAAAATCCCTCTCCCTCTGTTACCTTTGACCTTGATCTGTGTGAAGTCACTGGCATCGTCCAGGCCCTGCTGCACCTCGCAGCGGTAGTGCCCCGTGTCGCTTGAGCGCAGCTCCCCCAACCACAGGGAGAGGTCCTCGGGCGAGTCTGCAAAGTTGACCAGGGAAGCTCGTTCTCTGTAGGCCTCGTTGACCTTCACCCTTTGACCCCGCGCCACCAGGATCTCTGTCTCCTCCTGCTCCCCCTCATGCAACACGCTCCACTTGACCCGGGGTGGGATTGTGGGCGTGGAGGATGAGGGGGGCCCAGGGGACAGGGACACCAGACAGGGGATTGTGATGGAGCCTCCCAGGTGTGCAGCGGAGATGGGGGTTGTCTTGGAGATGGTTACCTGGAGTTGTCGGTTGTCGTCTAGGTCAGGTAGTAGAGATACAGTCAGTAAACAATGCTGACTGAGTAAGTGGCCGGCTATTGACCTCTAGTGGTGGTGGTGAATAATGCATTTTGGGGACAATCTTCAAGATTTTGCAGCAATGGTTAAATTCCACGGATGAGTACAATTTTTGGCAAAAAAATTCCATGATCACGGAATGGCGGAAAACTAAATGCTTTAATCAGGTACATGTTGAATATATAGAAATATATATTATACATAATCCATGTTTATCTTAACTACACTACCTAAGTTCTACTAAGTTGTAGAACACCTACTCATTCAATGGTTTTTCTTTTTGTAAACTATTTTTTACATTGTAGAATAATAGTGAAGACATCAAAACTATGAAATAACACATATTGAATCATGTAGTAACCAAAAAGGTGTTAAACAAATCAAAATATATTTTATATTTGAGATTCTTCAAGTAGCCACCCTTTGCCGTAATGACAGCTTTGCACACTCTTGGCATTCTCTCAACCAGCTTCATGAGATAGTCACCTGGAATGCATTTGAATTAACAAGTGTGCCTTCTTAAAAGTTAATTTGTGGAATTTATTTCCTTCTTAATGCATTTGAGCCAATCAGTTGTGTTGTGACAAGGTAGGGGGGGTATACAGAAGACAGCCCTATTGGGTAAAAGACCAAGTCCATATTATGGCAAGAACATCTCAAATAAGCAAAGAGATATGACAGTCCATCATTACTTTAAGACATGAAGGTCAGTCAATACGAAAAATTTCAAGAACTTTGAACGTTTCTTCAAGTGCAGTCTCAAAAACCATCAAGCGCTATGATGAAACTGGCTCTCATGAGGACCGCCACAGGAATGGAAGACCCAGAGTTACCTCTGCTTCAGAGGATACATTCATTAGAGTTACCAGCCTCAGAAATTGCAGCCCAAATAAATGCTTCACAGAGTTGAAGTAACAGACACATCTCAACATCAACTGTTCACAGGAGACTGTGTGAATCAGGCCTTCATGTTCGAATTGCTGCAAAGAAACCACTACTAAAGGACCCCAATAAGAAGAAGAGACTTGCTTGGGCCATGAAACACAAGCAATGGACATTAGACCGGTGGAAATGTGTCCAAATTGGAGAGTCCAAATTTGAGATTTTTGTAAGACACGGTGTGGTTGAAAGGATGATTTCCCACCGTAAAGCATGGAGGAGGAGGTGTGATGATGTGGGGGTGCATTGCTGGTGACACTGTCTGTGATTTATTTAGAATTCAAGGCACACTTAACCAGCATGGCTACCACAGCATTCTGCAGCAATACGCCATCCCATCTGGTTTGCACTTAATGGGACTATCATTTCTTTTTCAATAGGGCAATGACCCAAAACACACCTCCAGGCTATGTAAGGGCTATTTTACCAAGAAGGAGAGTGATGGAGTGCTGCATCAGATGACCTGGCCTCCACAATCCCCCGATCTCAACCAAATTGAGATAGTTTGGGATGAGTCGGATGGCAGAGTGAAGGAAAAGCAGCCAACAAGTGCTCAGCATATGTGGGAACTCCTTCAAGACTGTTGGAAAAGCATTCCAGGTGAAGCTGGTTGAGAGAATGCCAAGAGTGTGCAAAGCTGTCATCAAGGCAAAGGGTGGCTATTTGAAGAATCTCAAATATAAAATATATTTTGATTTGTTTAACCCCTTTTTTGTTACTGCATGATTCCATATGTGTTATTTCATAGTTTTGATGTCTTCACTATTATTCTACAATGTAGAAAATAGTTTAAAAAAATATATATTTTGAATGAGTAGGTGTTCTAAAACTTTTGACTGGTAGTGTTTCTCCAAACTGAAGCATAACAGCAACTACTATGCAGCAACTGAGGCTTTCAATTCTAGTTCATGAGGACCACTGGGCTGCTAAGGTTAAAGGGATGCTTTAGGTTGTTAGGCCTGTATCTACTTCCCCAGAGTCAGATGAAATTGTGGATACCATTTTTATGCCTCTGCGTCCAGTATGAAGGAAGTTTTAGGTAATTTCGCAAGCCAAAGCTAACTAGCGTTAGCACAATGACTGGAAGTCTACAGGAACAGCTATGGCTGGAAGTCTATATGAACAGCTAGCATACTAGCTGTTCCTGTAGACCTCCAGTCATTGCGCTAATGCTAGTTAGCAATCAGGCTAATGCTAGTTAGCAACTTATTTCAAACTGCACGCATAGACATAAAAATGGTATCCACAAGTTAATCTGACTCTGGGGAAGTACATAAAGGCCAAATCCCAAAGTATCCCTTTAAAATAATAACCTGATCTCAAAATAAATATTTTAATGCAATTCCATTTAATAATAGTCCATCAAAATACACTTTAGAAGATCTGTACCTTCTGAGTATCCTGTTTGGGCGGGGAAAGCCATGGTCAGATGGCAAACTGCACACAGAAGGGGGAGGAACCTTACTGGTCTGTGGATCAGAGGTAGTGAGAGTGATATGGGGGGGGGAAATGGGACATATTACATATACACCCTATGGCATATGCACCTTGTTTGTACATCATCGAAGAAACAATCTCTACTTCGCCAATTGGTTACAGTATTATTTTAAAGCTTATTTTACTCCTACATTATATACCCTCTATGATTTGAGTGTCGATAAGAACAGAGGGGGCAGAGATCAATGAATGATGAGTATTAAAATGTTAGATCAATGCCAGAGGGTAAACAAGTAGATTGAAGGAGATAAACAGGGTCAAACAGATCAATAGAGAGATATAGTGGTGAAATAGAGGATGATGAGATTGAAAGTGTAGTTGATGAAGAGATTAGGGGAAAGCACATGAGGAAAATGTGTGCGGAGGACAGAAAATGGACCATTTATGGGAATAAAGTAAAGACTAAACGGTCTCAATTCAATAAAATAAAAAGATCAGGGGCTTTGAAAAGCCTAATACGGAACACAGAGGCATGGGAGGAGCAGTAGCTTGGCCCCCAAAAAGGAATCCGGTGGCAAATCCACATCTGACCGCAACCGATTCATCACCTCCACGAGCAAATTACATGTCTGCTTAGCCCAGGGCTGCCTGCCAGTGCTCCTTCACCAGTCTGGCCCTGTTATTAGCTCAGCAGGCATGGCAGGCCGCTCTCACTGACCTCAAACAAACTCAAAGAATCGGCCACGATGGAAAAGCAAGGGAACATAAACATCTACATCACACAAATAAGGGCAGAGGCATTTCTGAGTGAGTACGTTTCAAGAAAGTTAACTGAACAAAGATTTTACCTCACGCAAAATACTTACTTTTTGCCTACTTTTAATATTTTTCAAAATACTTTTCAGGCCCTTTTCAGAAAGGACAGGGCAACAAACTTTCCTTCATACTTTTCAGTACTTTTCAGATCCTTCTCCAAAAAGGTAGGTTTTTACCTTTTACCTCACATACAGTGGCTTGCGAAAATATTCACCCCCCTTGGCATTTTTCCTATTTTGTTGCCTTACAACATGGAATTAAAATGGATTTTTGTGGGGTTTGTATCATTTGATTTACACAACATGCCTACCACTTTGAAGATGCAAAATATTTTTTGAGGCGAAACAAACAAGAAATAAGACAAAAAACAGAACTTGAGCGTGCATAACTATTCAATACTTTGTAGAGCCACCTTTTGCAGCAATTACAGCTGCAAGTATCATGTGGTATGTCTCTATAAGCTTGGCACATCTAGCCACTGGGATTTTTGCCCATTCTTCAAGGCAAAACTGCTCCAGCTCTTTCAAGTTGGATGGGATCCGCTGGTGTACAGCAATCTTTAAGTCATACCACATATTCTCAATTGGATTGAGGTCTGGGCTTTGACTAGGCCATTCCAAGACATTTAAATGTTTCCCCTTAAACCATTCGAGTGTTGCTTTAGCAGTATGCTTAGGGTCATTGTCCTGCTGGAAGGTGAACCTCCGTCCCAGTCTCAAATCACTGGAAGACAGAAACAGGTTTCCCTCAAGAATTTCCCTGTATTTAGCGCCATCCATCATTCCTTCAATTCTGACCAGTTTCCCAGTCCCTGCCGATGAAAAACATTCCCACAGCATGATGCTGCCACCACCATGCTTCACTGTGGGGATGGTGTTCTCGGGGTGATGAGAGGTGTTGGGTTTGCGCCAGACATAGCGTTTTCCTTGATGGCCAAAAAGCTACATTTTTGTCTCATCTGACCAAAGTACCTTCTTCCATATGTTTGGGGAGTCACCCACATGCCTTTTGGCCAACACCAAATGTGTTTGCTTATTTTGTTCTTTAAGCAATGGCTTTTTTCTGGCCACTCTTCCATAAAGCCCAGCTCTGTGGAGTGTATGGCTTAAAGTTGTCCTATGGACAGATACAGTGGGGAAAAAAAGTATTTAGTCAGCCACCAATTGTGCAAGTTCTCCCACTTAAAAAGATGAGAGAGGTCTGTAATTTTCATCATAGGTACACGTCAACTATGACAGACAAAATGAGAAAGAAAATATTTTTAATGAATTTATTTGCAAATTATGGTGGAAAATAAGTATTTGGTCAATAACAAAAGTTTCTCAATACTTTGTTATATACCCTTTGTTGGCAATGACACAGGTCAAACGTTTTCTGTAAGTCTTCACAAGGTTTTCACACACTGTTGCTGGTATTTTGGCCCATTCCTCCATGCAGATCTCCTCTAGAGCAGTGATGTTTTGGGGCTGTCGCTGGGCAACACAGACTTTCAACTCCCTCCAAAGATGTTCTATGGGGTTGAGATCTGGAGACTGGCTAGGCCACTCCAGGACCTTGAAATGCTTCTTACGAAGCCACTCCTTCGTTGCCCGGGCGGTGTGTTTGGGATCATTGTCATGCTGAAAGACCCAGCCACGTTTCATCTTCAATGCCCTTGCTGATGGAAGGAGGTTTTCACTCAAAATCTCACGATACATGGCCCCATTCATTCTTTCCTTTACACGGATCAGTCGTCCTGGTCCCTTTGCAGAAAAACAGCCCCAAAGCATGATGTTTCCACCCCCATGCTTCACAGTAGGTATGGTGGTCTTTGGATGCAACTCAGCATTCTTTGTCCTCCAAACACGACGAGTTGAGTTTTTACCAAAAAGTTCTATTTTGGTTTCATCTGACCATATGACATTCTCCCAATCCTCTTCTGGATCATCCAAATGCACTCTAGCAAACTTCAGACTGGCCTGGACATGTACTGGCTTAAGCAGGGGGACACGTCTGGCACTGCAGGATTTGAGTCCCTGGCGGCGAAGTGTGTTACTGATGGTAGGCTTTGTTACTTTGGTCCCAGCTCTCTGCAGGTCATTCACTAGGTCCCCCCGTGTGGTTCTGGGATTTTTGCTCACCGTTCTTGTGATCATTTTGACCCCACGGGGTGAGATCTTGCGTGGAGCCCCAGATCGAGGGAGATTATCAGTGGTCTTGTGTGTCTTCCATTTCCTAATAATTGCTCCCACAGTTGATTTCTTCAAACCAAGCTGCTTACCTATTGCAGATTCAGTCTTCCCAGCCTGGTGCAGGTCTACAATTTTGTTTCTGGTGTCCTTTGACAGCTCTTTGGTATTGGCCATAGTGGAGTTTGGAGTGTGACTGTTTGAGGTTGTGGACAGGTGTCTTTTATACTGATAACAAGTTCAAACAGGTGCCATTAATACAGGTAACGAGTGGAGGACAGAGGAGCCTCTTAAAGAAGAAGTTACAGGTCTGTGAGAGCCAGAAATCTTGCTTGTTTGTAGGTGACCAAATACTTATTTTCCACCATAATTTGCAAATAAATTCATTAAAAATCCTACAATGTGATTTTCTGGATTTTTTTTTTCAATTTGTCTGTCATAGTTGACGTGTACCTATGATGAAAATTACAGGCCTCTCGCATCTTTTTAAGTGGGAGAACTTGCACAATTGGTGGCTGACTAAATACTTTTTTCCCCCACTGTACTCCAATCTCTGCTGTGGAGCTTTGCAGCCTCTCTGATTAATGCCCTCCTTGCCTGGTCCGTGAGTTTTGTTGGGCAGCCCTCTCTTGGCAGGTTTGTTGTGGTGCCATATTTTTTAATAACCCAACCCTGATCTGTACTTCTCCACAACTTTGTCCCTGACCTGTTTGGAGAGCTTCTTGGACTTCATGGTGCCGCTTGCTTAGTGGTGTTGCAGACTCTGGGGCCTTTCAGTACAGGTGTATATATACTGAGATCATGTGACAGATCATGTGACACTTAGATTGCACACAGGTGGACTTTATTTAACTAATTATGTGACTTCTGAAGGTAATTGGTTGCACCAGATCTTATTTAGGGGCTTCATAGCAAAGGTGGTGAATACATATGCACGCACCACTTTTCCGTTATTTATTTTTTAGAATTTTTTGAAACAAGTTTTTTTTTTCATTTCACTTCACCAATTTGGACTATTTTGCGTATGTCCATTACATGAAATCCAAATAAAAATCCATTTAAATTACAGGTTGTAATGCAACAAAATAGGGAAAATGCCAAGGGGGATGAATACTTTTGCAAGGCACTGTAAATTTAAAAAATGCAGTTTTGTGTACCTTGACCACCAGTTAAATTATCTTTATTTTACCCCTTTTTTATGATATCCATTGCTGCAACTCCCCTATGGACTCAGGAGAGGCAAAGGTCGAGAGCAATGCGTCCTCCGAAACACGACCCTGCCAAGCCGCACTGCTTCTTGACACACTGCTTGCTTAACCCGGAAGCCAGCCGCCCCAATGTGTCGGAGGAAACACCGTTCAGCTGGTGACCGAAGTCAGCTTGCAGGCGCTCGGCCTGCCACAAGGAGTCGCTAGAGTGCAAAGGGACAAGGAATTCCTGGCTGGCCAAACCCTCCCCTAACCCAGATGACGCTGGGCCAATTGTGCGCCGCCTCATGTGCCTCCCGGTCATGGCTGGCTGTGACACAGCCCAGGATCGAACCTGGGTCTGTAGTGACGCCTCAAATCAAATCAAGTGGCGCAGCAGTGCCGTAGACTGCTGCGCCACTCGGGATGCTCTTGATCACCTATACGATTCATCACCTATACATCACCTATAGAATTATAATTTCACTCATTATAACATCTTTATGCCATTCCCGTTTTTTCCTAGATGCACTTTCCAAAAATTCTGCAGACTGAGCCTAAATGACCATTTACAGCAAATATATATAAAAAATGTTTAAACCTATCAACCCGATATGTTGCCTAGTTTGCTGCCGTTTGGCTTAGCTGGTCGTAAAAACCTTTCTTCCTCCATGAATGATGAAGGGAGAATCTCAATTGGATTTGCTCAACTCCTTGCGTCCTCTCCTCCATCCTCTCCTCTTTTTAAAAAAGGTCAAATGTAATCAAGGAGAGAAGGAGAGGAAACGTGGGAAAAAATCCACTTCTATGAAATGAGACCTTCTTTACTAGCGCT